ACGCTGCTGCGGCGGCTGGGGGGCGCGTTTTGGGAGGCGTTCTCGGGCGCGGGGCCCTCCTCCTCAAGTGGGAGTGCGGGTGCGGGGGCGATGCCCGGCGCGGGGGTGGGCAAGTGGGACGCGGAGAAGGTGCGGAAGGTGTTGGAGGGAAGGGCGGTTGTGAGGGTTGTGGATGTCGAGCCGCAGCTGCCGCAGATCAAGAAGGAGGCGAGGGAGTGCACGATAGCGGAGTGTGGGCATTCGCTGTCCGAGGCGTTTGGGGGGCTGAATCTTGGGAAGAAGTAGGCGGGCTTGGGATAAGACGAAGACGGGGAAGAGGGCCGCGCCGACGACGACGACGACGGCGACGACGTTCCCACCACTTCCACACCTCCATTCTCGACTCCACTGCTCTCGACTCGACTCTATTCTCGACTCTCGATTCGACTCCAGCTGCACCCCGCTCTCGACTCTCTGACTTTACACTCTCCGCTCTCGACTCACTCGACTCTCGACTCTCGAATCTCATCTCATTCCACCCATGCCCGATATACTGTACCGCCCGCCCGCGATAGCGACAGCGCGGCCCCACTCTCCTTCCCCTCCGTCTCTTTCTTTCCCTTTCCCTTGCCTTTTCCCGTTTCGTTTCGGCTTTCGGTTTTCGATTTTCGTCACCTCGGCGCTACTTCAAATCGTGCTTACGCATCGGCATCGCGTCAAATCGTGCTTACGCGTCGCGTCAAATCGGCGTTACGTTGCCGTTACCGTTGCACGGACCCCCCACCCCACCCCAGCTCACTCCTTTGTTCTGTTTCTTTTGTTTCTTTTCCTTGTTTCGCTTCCTTGTTTCGCTTCGATTCGCTCCGCTCGGCTCGCTTGATACTCGCTACCTATACTTGACCCGATACTCTACCTGACTCCCGACTCGCGACTCGCGAAATGTACATATAGTAGCTATAGAGACCAGACGTGCGGTATATTAGTTTGGATAATCTGGATCTGATTTTATTTTTCGCTTCTGACCTGACCGTTGTTGTCAACTCGGACTGGGTGAATTTGGGTGAATATCAGGAAATGGGAGTCTAAGTGGGCGAGAGGTGGAGCGATGGATGTTGGTTGTATGTATGTGGGTGGTGAGTAAGAGGGTAGGGACGCCCTCGATGATCAGTGGTGATCGCCTTGAATACATAAGGTGCAAAAGAATATCACGAGGATGTGCGGGTTCGATTCCTGCCGAGGGCGATCGACGAGGAAGCGTCATCTTTCTTTCTTTATTATTATTATTTTTTGGGGGGGGCCTCTTCTCGAACTTTCCGAGTCGTTGTTCGGAGTCTGGGCGATGGGCATGTTCGTGCCTTCGAGTTGAGGGTGAGTTGAACGAGACATGTTGAAATTGGGCACCGTCCCGTGCCAGACACCGGTCATTGGTCCACTACATAGTCGGGTTGCAAATACAGCTTGGAACGCCCTCGATGATTAGTGGTGATCGCTTTGGATAACTGTAGGGAAGAGGAAGAAAATATCACGAGGATGCGCGGGTTCGATTCCTGCCGAGGGCACTTCGAGGACCGGACTTTCTTTTACTTCGCTCCGAGTTTCGTCGTCCTAAAATAAAATAGCGAAGACCCTTTCGCTTGACTATATTCCTGCTCGTCCTTTCAAGTTGACGATGAGTTGAACGAGACATATTGAAACTGTGAGGATGGTTTCTTCTGACTTTTCAGTACCAGACACTGGACGTTGCTCCACTATGCGGTGGAGTTGCGAATACAGCTTGGAACGCCCTCGATGATCAGTGGTGATCGCCTTTGCCAACTGAAGGGCGAGTATGACGTCACAAAGGATATGCAGGTTCGATTCCTGCCGAGGGCGATGGCAACTTCGAGGACCGGGATTTCTTTTACTTCTCTCCGACTTTCGTCGTCTTAAAATGAAATAGCCAAAGACCCTTTCGCTTGATTATATTCCTCTTAGTCCTTTCAAGTTGACGAGACATGTTAAAATTATGAGGATGGTTTCTTCTGAATTTTCAAAATGCCAGACACTGGACGTTGCTCCACTAGGTGATGGAGTTGCGAATACAGCTTGGAACGCCCTCGATGATCAGCGGGGATCGCATTGGTTGACTCAAGCGTAGTAAGGATGTGCGGGTTCGATTCCTACCGAGGGCGATGATGCGCTGGGTTTGAATGTCTTTTGTGTCCGTCCGCAAATGAAAGCTAAGAACGGTACTAGAAGTATTTTGAAAGCCCGACACAGAATCGAACTATCCTCGTCTCTCTCTCAATTAACAAAAATACCATTATTTTGTGGGAAGACATATTACCCGTACGGCAACCACGCTCCAGATCCATGTATTATAGTCTCAGGCCCTGACGGCGGCATACCACACCTCCGACCGATCCTCGACGGTAAGCCCCTCCGGCTCACCTGCCAAATCCCCGGCGCCCCAAACGCCACCCTGCATCCCGAACCCGGCAACCGTCCCAGAATGGACCGCAAACTCTGCGTTCGCCTGCAACGAAGTGTACGCCCAGAACGGATCCGAAGCGTTTCCTGTCGGCTGCGAGAAACATTCGGTATAGGTGAAAAAAGGGGATGAAAGCCAGCTCACCATCTCGACCCACGCAGTGAGGTTGAACAGCGGGCCGTCGAAGTGTTTGAGGGCGCCGTAGCTCGCGAGCTGCCTGTTCCACGCCCACACGAGGTCCGCCGCAGCGGTTTCGGAGGGAAAGTTGCACTTCAGATGCGCGACGACCGCCGCGCAAGCGGGGGACTGCATGCCCGTGGCGGCGGTGACCGCACAGAGCTCGATGTCCGCGCCGTACCCGAGGTTGCGGTACTTCCCCTGTACCGCCGTGAACTCGAAGGGAAGGGAGGCGTTTGACGGCGCAGGGGTGCTCGTGGCAGCCGCAAGCTCGATCTCTTGTGCTGCAGCCTTGTACCTGGTTCAATGATTTTTAGGTCGTTGGTGGAAAATATGGAGTACACGTATGCGCACCTGGAATTCCAATCCACTGGATCAAGGCCGAAGGCCTCGTCGATGATGCGGTATTTTATGACCTCCTTGAGGAGCGGGCCAACGGTATCGTCGTTTGTGAAGATGGCGATTCCAACGCCGTCATTGGGAAAGCGCGCTACACGACTGTGGTATCCTAATCACATCAGTCGAAGTGAAATTTCTATCAATGTGAGACCAACCCGGTAGGTCTCCCTCGTGCTACGGAGGTGAAAATAGAAGATTATTATTAAACTTCGACGACAAGATCTGGTGGTTTGCATACCTCATTCATAACTTTTGAATGATTGAGATCATATCGAGTAGCAAAGGAGCAGTAAATACGCACCGTGGCCCCGATAAGCGCTCTGTGTTTGGCCTCCGCCATATACCGCCGGAGAGAGCTCCGGGGCACCTGGAAGTTGGCCAGAATCCCTAAACTCCGCGGTCAGAAAGCGCCAGGCAGAGAAACAGCATACGTGCCCATTTCCCTCCCAGATGGAGACCCCTGTGGCTAGTTTCTGCATAACGTCGGCGGGGACGATAGTGGCACCAGTTTCTGGGTGCTGGCCGTCCAGTAGAAGCAGTTGAAGCCATCGGGCCTGCAAAAATCGCATGGTTTGAATAAACTCAAACTGAACCATCTCGATGTCCTACCGCGTCAACGATTGTAGTGATAATTCCTCCGGGCCCGGAGTCGGCTGTAACAAGTGTTGAGTGATCTGGTGGCATCGAATATCAGTGAAACGCAACGCACTATCGCCATCCTCAGGTGCGGCCTTGAAAAGATACGGTAGAATGCGCGTAGTTCCTGCGCCCAATGGATTCTCGGTGATGTTGACCCCTTGGCGGGCAAATCCGTCTGCCATATTGCCGGTGGCGTTCGCGACCGTAAATGAGTACGTGGTTGAGTTCATCCCCAACGGTTCGAATATGTGTTTCTGAACGTAGTGTACGAACGGTGGTTTGTCCGGTAAGAGGGCGGTAGGAAGGTACGACAACACGGTGTACATGATGTTGTTGTACCGCGTGTCCTCCCTGAACCCGGTGGAAGGCTTGAGATATTTCATCCGTTTAAACTGTCCTTTGATTTGAATACACTCCAGGACTGGGCTCGGAAATCAAGTTACCACAGACGACAGGGTGTCGTTGAAGAGGAAGAACCCGAAATTGTGACTCGGAAGGCCGGTGCGGTGGCTCATGAGATCGGTAATCGTGCTTTCCGATGATGCGACAGGATCCATGAGCTTCCACTCGTGAATCACAGCCGCGATTTTGGTTGTCCAAGAGATTTGGGGTTGGAGGGTTTTGTTCGATATTAAGAGGCCGGTCGCAACGATATTAAAAAGCTGCATAAAATGAGTATGTATTTGCTATCCGGAAATTTAAATCGCTCGCCTTGGAGTTGGAACCCATGGGGAAGCCAGTGTCTGGGCCTATTTTGGTGCCATCTCCTTTAGCGAAACCATAGCCTTTAGTTTCAACTAGCCAGCCGCCTTGCCCGTCCATTCGAACGACGGCAACGCCGGCACCTCCAGGAGTATTCCATTCGGCGAGAACATTGTTGATAAAGGCATCGACTTCAGTGGTGAGAATTGGAGAGGCTTCTGAACGTTTAACGTGATCTTCTGCTGAAGCAAAGATATTGAAAGAAAGGAGAGCGATTGCCAGGGAAAGGGAGCGCATGTCAACTGGTATTCCAGCTTGGACCAGCCTAGAATTTATAGCTAGCCCGAGTTGGATGTTTTCATCGCGCAGCGGTAAGCGCAGGCGTACTTACGTTGATCAAGGTTGATGCCTTCCCGAGCCCGTAACCTATCGCATCGTTCCGATGTCAGCCGGAACACCGATGGTCGAATGACGATTCCCTGTCACGACTTGGAGTTTCATGCCAGGCGTTTAGACGACCTTTAAACGCTAGTTTGCTGGATCAGACGCAAGGTGAATGTGGGCTATGTTCCTCACTGAGATGAATCCATAATAATTCGGTGGGTTTTATGTGGGAGACCTTGATACAGTGACTGCCTGAAAGGCGAAGGGCCTCGCCGACCAGTGCGGTTGGCAGGAAATCGGCGTTTCGGATTCGGGAAGCGAGCAAATATGGAGCTCCCGTAAAGGTACGGCGGATGATATTGAATTGATAGACACTGCCTTAAAGGTCACATTCAATTCCAGCCGAAGGACCACACGCTTTGCCACGAGGGCCGGGGGTTGTGAGACTGTGGATGACGGACAGAGTGACCGCACCGAGATCTACCGTGATGTCGGCTAAATCATGGTCGTCCGTTTGGTTCGAAACTGGGTCGGCGGGGCTCCGGCCGTTGCTGAAGGTTGGGGAGTGTGAGTTGGTGATCATGGGCGAGAGGCAAGCGAGAGGGGATCAAGATGCAGCCGGCGATCTCCGGTCAATTGCTCACTTCATACTCCGACCACTGGTCAACGGCCAATTGAACCATTAATATTGTGTTCCGGGGGACCTGATCAGGCTGACGGGGCTGATAAGGGCATTTTTGTGGCTTTTCGCAAAAGGTTCTGACCATCTTCAGATGGTCTTCATTCACTCAGTGCTATCAGCGGGGCATCTTTCAGGTGTTCTCTACGATCTAATGGTATGTATGATATATAACTAATGTCTACCAAAGACTACTAAATTATCCTCAGCAAACCCGGTTCACGTTGGAAGGGCACCAACTGAGTTTTGTACCTTGTTCGGCCCACCGGTTTACCCTTGTACTGTCTCACTTAAGCCCGTTTGACTTTGCGATTTCATTGTTTTGATGCATCTGGGTGCCGTAGTCACATCGAAAGGTTGTTGACAACACTTGGGTTCATTTTTTGTTGTATTCTTGGGAGGGGGGGTCTGACAGAGCCTGACCGGCCCTGATATGCTTGACCATTTGACCTGACACGGTCTGATCAGGCCTTACAAGTCCGTCAGGTCTCGTCAGCCCCTGATAAGGCAAAATCGATTTTTCCGACAATTACTAATTCGTCCTCGATCTCAGTTTTCAGGGTACTGCAATCAATTCTGTGCCAGCAATTTAGTTTCTTAACGAGACCACACCGGAATATACCCTACCTCCTTAAGTAACCACATCCGGAGTTCTAATCGCAGACTAACCACGGGCGTCGTTCCCGGACCGTCGGCGGATGTCGGTATACCTCAGGTTTCATTGACCCACCCGTGGCAATGGCCTTCAAATGTATCTCAACATCCATTTAAACCCTGTGTACACAGGATATTATAATCCACCTGATTCCGGTGGATTCTCCTCGAAGATGCGGAGGTATATGGTGAAAGGCTCGATGAGCCGGCGGCGCTCGGGGGCACAACCTACTGTTGACGGTGCAGAACGTGGCGCCGAGAACGGTAGTAAATAGGCCGTAGGTAGTGAAGACAAAGAAGATGGGAGAGGGTGGGGTCATCTTGCTCTCTGATGTAGAATCGGGCCGAAAGCTAGGTGGAGAACCCAGAAAAACGGTATAATCAGGCGGATTATGCGTAGTCCGGGGTGGATGGCGTCGTTGGAAGCGGAGTCCTTGGTCTGATCCATCTTACTTGAAAGATTATCTATGGTAGCCTGCAGCCCTTTTTAAGCAGCAGGCCATGGCAGACCACAATCATTCATCAATAGGACTTACCCACGGTTCAACTTCATGGATACAAGGCGGGTTTTGCTTGGTTTTTGCCCAAAGAAAATCGGGGATGTATGTCTCTATAATAACAGAAGAAACACGCAGACAGTAATGTATAGAAGGCCCCCTAACAAAAATGGTATCTGTATACGCCGCGCGACCTCACAAGGAAGTCTGAGCGACCGTGGCGTTGGGCTTCGCGAGCCCATAGCTGTTGATGATGAACGCTGTCCCAGCT